CATTGTGTCGCAGGAACCTCTGAACAGCACAATAACCAACCCCAACTGGTCCACAAAACAAAAGGGCTTCTGTGGCAACAAGCTGCCACAGATGAGACACTACCATGGAGACCATTCTTGATCCTGTAAGAAAGATCCATTGTATTTCACATCCCTTTGTTCGGAAAGCAGTAGGAATTATCTCACGTCCATTCATCATGAGCCAACGAGTTATCCCAAGTATAGAGTTGGGGGACTGGAAAAGTGTTAAAGCTGGTGAAAAATAGTCTTCCTGAGAGAAGAAAAGTAGGAAGGGAGTGAAACATATAACATCAGCTGAGAGGGAAGAGCATCCAGGCACAGTTTGGGAATTAAAGTGTTACTGTTCGAGTAATCACTAGTTTTGGAATAAAGTATATATTTACCTGTATACATGAGTAGAGGAAGGATTGAGTAAAAGAAGAGATTAAAGCTGACTGCACGTGGGGTATGGCTAGGGGTGACACACTGAACTTTCAATTTTGTTATAGGTATTTGCTTTCTTTTTGTCACCTATGAACCTTGTTTTTCTTTTCCTGAGTGGTACCTGCCTGTTTTCTCTTCCCATAAGTCCTGTGTGACAGCAGATTTTGTGGCGTGACACTCCGCACGGAGTACAACATGGAGATTGCAGACAAGGCACGTTGTTGCTACCATCAAGTATTTCTCATTTTTGCAAGACCCACGTGAGGGCCAGGTGACATTCCAGGAGCATCTTCCGTACGCCATAACGTCCACGCTCAGCATGTGCCACCCAAAGGGAAATTTGAAGCTCCAACCTCAAATTTCTACCTGAAAAAAAATTCCAGGAGAATCTGCTTTAGAAACATTTTGTAGCTCATCTTGTGGATTGTCTACCCCAAGATAAGAACACTACAGTTCTGTGAATTCACTCAAATCCAGGTGACAAATATTTGATGGTTTTTTTCTTTATTTTCTTCGTAAATACAGAGGAATAATTTTTGTAGAAGTCGGTACATTCTTGATGTTAATGCCTATTTGCTTTTTTTTCCCCTCTCTTTTTTTTTTTTATTTTAATTTTAGGTGTCGGTCTTTCAAAGCTCAGTTCCAAGTAAACGTCTCTCAGTTGGTGTATGATGTCAAACTTATTTTTGGAACATGCAGAAATGCCAAAAGGGCTCACTAATCTCCTAATGAGATAAAATTACCTCTGAAGGATAAAATTAGCATGCTGGAACTTTTCCAACAATTATATTTTTACAGCCCTACCACATATACTATGCAGCGTGTTTCTAAAGAATCAGTACTCTGAAATATAAATGCCTCATTTCTTTTGCAAACTATATTTTGAGGAAACTTTTAATTGCAAGAATTAAAATGTTAGTAATGAAACAGGTTTCAGGAAAAATGGCTAAAAATAATTAAAAAAACACATGAATATATGTTATGCTCTGAAAGATGGGAAACAAAATATAGGACTAAGGGATGAGTTCTTACAGAGGTGATAGGTTACCAATAACAATCTGCTGTGCCCTGCATTACTCAGCACGATCTGGAAAAGGGATGAGTAACCAGGTCACCAAGTCTGAAGAAGCTATTGAGTTATTTAGGTTAACAGAGATAGGACAACCTTAAAGAACTGGGGAAAAGTTTAAGAAAGCGAGTGACTGAACAATAAAATGGCAGATGGAGTTCAATGTAGATAAACCCAAAGTGTTGCACAAGGGGGAAAACGGTCATTACTTCAGGTATGGAAAGGCAGGTTCTGATCTGGTCCTTACTTCTCAGGAGAGAGAGTCCTAGAGATATGAAATGGCTCCATGGGAACATCAGCCTGATGCTCAACAGCTGCCAAAAATACATATATAAAAAAAAGAAATATTGGGAAATCAGTAGAGAACAAAGCAAAGAATATATTTTTGCTGCCACAGAAATCTGCATTTTGCTCATGTCTCGAGTATAGGTAAGGAATCATAGAAATATTGGTTGAGAGGGACCTCTGCAGGCCACCGAGTCCAACCTTCAACTTGAGGCAGGACTATTGCCTAGGTCAGGTCAGCTGTGGCTTTGTCTATCTGAGTGTTGGAAACCACCAAGGACGGCAATTCCACAGCCTGTCTGGACAACTTGTTCCAGTGCTGCATGATTCTTTTGGTGAAGAAATTTTTTCTGATGTCCTATCTGGACCTCCCAAGCTGCAGTTGTTGGTTCTCAACACAGCTGCCCAATGCAAGTAGGTCTTGCTTCTTGTCTCCTGCTTTCCACTGCTGAGAAGTGTTTGGCTGCATCGTCCTACAGATGCTGTCCTGGTCCTTACATGTCAGCAAAACAGGAATGTCTTTCATGTAAGGCACGGCCAACTTAGCTAGAATCCTTCAGGGTGGGAGAGGGGCTACAGGACACATGATGGACACCTATACATCTATAAGTGGCTTGTAAAGGATGTATCTTCTGATAAAGAACTGGTGAGCATGAAACAATGCTACCAGCAGCCAAGTTGAAAATACACAAAGGGAGGCAGGTTCTTCCACGACATGGAGTTGATCTATGGAATTTGTCACCACAGCAGGTGTAGTTGCTGCAGATCTATGTAGGTTTAAAGGAAGGTGGGCAAGGGCCTGATGGACAAATCCAGTGAAGTTTTCTAAGGGCATAGAAACTATGTCTGCCTCAGAAAACCTATGAATTTGAAATATTGGTGGCAGGGAAAGTGGTGGAGGGGACTATGGGTTGACCTTGCCCCGTAGTAAGGCAATACGGTGTTGGTCCAGCAAAGCCCTTGGTCTGACCCAGTATGGAAGCTCTTATCTTCAAGAAATCACTTGTAAAACTTAACTACCTTACACTTATGTCTGTCTTGCCTTGTTAATTAACCTGGGAGTTTTTCACTTCGTTTTCTCCGGCACTTGAATAATTATTATTGCACTTTGGTTTTAAGTTGTACCCACAAATAACACCGCAAAAAGAATTAGCATTTTGAAGAAATCAACCCCGGTCTTTGAAATGAAACTGCAGGGTACCATTTCTAGCCAAAGCCTTATTTCCAACCTACTTATATCACTGGTTCCGCTAAATTTCAGAAGTTAAGTCTTTGAAAGGAAGAACATGCCTATGATTAAGACGAGGAAACAGCACTCTGGAGATCTCAGTCTGATCTCTAGCAACGCCACAAATCTCCTGCCAGTTTTGGCAAATCAGTGGGGCCCTCTTCTAGTATGAGCTGAGTTTTCAGACAAGCTCATTGGAACTACTCAGGTTAAGCACTTGCTAAAGCGCTTAGTGAACGAACTTTTCACATCAGGCGTCGATACAGCAGTGGAAAGCTTTGGGGAGGACCTTGTTTGGGGAGGACCAGTGCAAAGGTCCAACCTATGGAGCAGAGACCACCACCACCACCACCCAAAGCTTTCTGCCTCGGGATGGGAGATGAGAGGGAGACCAAGGGAAGGGGAAGGCAGAAAGGCAGGGGTAAAGAGTAATGAGAAAAGGAGGGAGGTACTTCTCACCCAGCCTCTGAGGCCCTGGGGAGTGGATATGGGGAGAAGGGTGCTTCTGAGGAGTGGGGCCAGGAGGGTCCCTGAAGAGCAGGGCACCCCTCAGGAGCAGGATTGGGAGTGTTCCTGAGAAGTGGGGCACCCCTGAGGATCAGGGCCAGGAAGGTCCCTGAGGAGCAGAGCATCCCTGAGGAGCAGGGCCCGGAGTGTCCCTGAGGAACAGGATCAGGAGTGCCCCTGAGGAGCCAGGCACCCCTGAGGAGCAGGGCCAGGAAGGTCCCTGAGGAGCAGGGCATCCCTGAGAAGCAGGGCCGGGAAGGTCCTTGAGAAGTGGGGCACCCGTGGGGATCAGGGCCAGGAAGGTCTCTGAGGCGTGGGACCAGGAATGTCCCTGAGGAGTGGGGCATTCCTGAGGAGTAAGGCTGAGAAAGGCCCTGAAAAGTGGGGCAGCCGTGAGGATCAGGGCCACGAAGGTCCCTGAGGGCCAGGAGTGTCCCTAAGGAGTGGGATCAGGAATGCCCCTGAGAATCAAGGCCAGGAAGGCCCCTAAGGAGCAGGGCACCCCTGAGGAGAGGGCCAGGAAGGTCCCTGAGGAGCAAGGCCCAAAAGGTCCCTGAGGAGTGGGGCACCCATGCGAATCAAGGCCAGGAAGGTCCCTGAGGTGCGGGATACCCCTGAGGAAGGGGCCAGGAAGGTCCCTGAGGAGCAAGGAACCCCTGAGGAGGCGGCCAGGAAGGTCCCTGAGGAGCAGGGCACCCCTGAGGAGCAGGGCCAGGAAGGTGCCTGAGGCGCAGGGCACCCCTGAGGAGCGGCTCCGGGAATGCTGGGAGGCCGTGTCTCCCCTGAGGGACGCGGGCAGGGAGGCGCGGACAGGCCGGGGGCCGGGAAATGGCCACTCGCCACAGCCTTGAGCCCCATCCCGGCCTGAGGAGCCGCCTGAGGAGCCGGCAGTCGCCGCCCGCCTTCCCCAGGAGCCCGAGGGCGGGTCGGGGCGGAGCTACCCGCTGCCACCGCCGTCCGGCCCCGCCGTGCCCGGCAGCCCCGGCCCCGCGCAGGTGGCGCCGTGCGGAGCCCCCTCCCTAAGCCCGGCCATTCCCCCCCGGGGACGGGGTCCCTCCGCCTCCCCGCTTGTCGCCGCCTTCCCCCTAAGGCCGGGCAGCCTCTCCCGCCCCATCCCGTCCCGTCCCTAAGCGGGTCACCCCGGCTCCCCGCCCGGCGCCGGGGGCAAGCCTCTGCCGGGGCGATGCGCCTCCCCGCCCCGCAAGGCAGAGCCCTTCTTCCCTTCCATCCCATCCCAGGAGATACCGGGATCTGCCTCCGTTCCCCTCGGCCCTCGGCCCTCCCCCTCTCGCCCTCCTCCTCCTCCTCCCTCCTCTCGCCTCCTTTTTCTTTCTTTATTTTTTTTTTTTTTTTCCTTTTTCCATCCCCTCCCCCGCCTGGGAAGACCTGGCCGCTCCCCCCCGCCCCGTCTTCAGTAGCCGCGGGCGCCGGGCGGCGGAGCGGAGCGGGGCGGGCAGCCCGCTCCCCGGGGCTGTGGCCGCCTTCCCCTCCCTCCCTTCCTTCCTCCTGCGGGGCTGCCAGGTACGAAACTAACCCTTCCCGAGGCCGGTTGCGGGGGTTGGTGGGGGGGTAAGAGGTTGCCCCCCGAGAGACAGGGATGGATGGGGGCTGAGGGGTGCGGGGGACAGGGCAGCCCGAGGCAACCTCCGAAAGGTGAACTTCTTTTGCGATACCGTTCTTCCTACAGGGTCGTTTCAGTAATAATAATGATAATAATAAAACAAGGAGGCTGAGCGATGTCAGTACCTCGGCAGCTGGAGGGTTTTGTATGAAGCTCTTGCCTCTGCAGCCGGGTGGATGTATTTTTGATAGGACTAAAAGACGTGACATGTTTCTTTGGTCCTTTCCTTCTTTCCTTCCTTCTTTCCTTCCTTCTTTCCTTCCTTCTTTCCTTCCTTCTTTCCTTCCTTCTTTCCTTCCTTCTTTCCTTCCTTCTTTCCTTCCTTCTTTCCTTCCTTCTTTCCTTCCTTCTTTCCTTCCTTCTTTCCTTCCTTCTTTCCTTCCTTCTTTCCTTCCTTCTTTCCTTCCTTCTTTCCTTCCTTCTTTCCTTCCTTCTTTCCTTCCTTCTTTCCTTCCTTCTTTCCTTCCTTCTTTCCTTCCTTCTTTCCTTCCTTCTTTCCTTCCTTCTTTTTTAATTTTAAGCTGGTCTCACGAGGACGGAAAGAAGGGGCACAGTGACTGGGTTTTCGGGGGCTTGTGCAGAAGAGCCTTGCTTACTCTTCTGCAGGGAGCAATCAAGGAGCCTCCTCTCACCCCGCAAAAACAACCCCGGCTTTAATTCTGATTCACCCCCTCAGCATTCGCGCTACCATCCCCGCGCGATTCATTCTGGAATTGAGGCTAATTTTATCCAGATTCGTCACAGCTGGAAGCAGAGTGATCTTGGAATGACACACAAAAAAAAAAAAAAAAAAAAAAAGGTATTTAACTTGCAGGCTCTGGAGACAGGGAACTCCTTTGGATCAGAGGAGGGGTGGGGGGGAAAGCAGAGCCTGTCTCGCCAAGCGGGACCAAGGGATGGCTAAAGAGAGTTAAACCCTTCCTCTCCAAACCCTCGGCTTTTTCCAGCAAAACCCTGGGTTTTAACGTGTTTTAGCGATGGGCTTGGCAGCGCTGGGTTTATGGTTGGGCTCAATGATCTGAAGGGTCTTTTCCAACCTAAAGGACTCTATAAAATCACTTTCTGTGCCGATGCGGTGGAGAAGCGGCCATCCCAGCAAACCTTTAACGTGTTTTAGCGATGGGTTGGGCTCAATGATCTTAAGGGTCTTTTCCAACCTAAAGGAAACCTCTATAAACCTCTATAAAATCACTTTCTGTGCCGATGCGGTGGAGAAGCGGCCATCCCAGCAAACCTCCCCCCCGTTCCCCACCGTTCCTCCGGCTGGTTCCCGGCGGGTCCCCCCACCTTCCACCCCAACCTCCCGCTCCCGTCCTCCGGACGCTCCCCCGGACCGGGAGGAGCGGGGAGAAGAGCCCGGAGGCGGGGAGGGCTGGGAGGAGCGGGGGCTACCGTGGGGCTAGCCCGGGACCCGGGGGACCGCCGGCGGCCGGTAACCGGGCTGTCGGGGCGCGCCACCGGGCGGCCGGGAAAGGGAAAACCCCGGCGGAGGGGAAGCCCCTCGTCCCCGTTGCCGTTCATCCCCCTCCCCTTTTCTTTATTTCCCCCTCCGGGTGTGATTTCAGAAAGGAGCTGGCACGCCTGCCGTGTAGGGTTAGCTCTTCTTGTGCCTGCTGCGGCCGCTCGGATGTTGGCAGAGCCAGGAGTGGCAGTGGAGTTATCTCCCTAAGGCAGAGGGGAGGAGGAAATCTCTGCACCAATATACAGAGTGAGCGCACCCAGATGGAGCAAAAAGGGCAGTGGTGGATAAGGTTGGGGCAACGGTTTCTTCCAGGCAGCGCAAGATTTCCGAAAATCTTTCAGCCTGGAGAAGAGGAGGCTGAGGGGAGACCTTCTTGCTCTCTCCAACTCCCTGAAAGGAGGGTGTAGAGAGGTGGGGGTCGGTCTCTTTTCTCAAGTCACAGGCGACAGGACGAGAGGAAACGGCCTCAAGTTACGCCAGGGGAGGTTCAGGCTGGATATTAGGAAAAATTTTTTCACTGAAAGGGTTATCAGACATTGAAATGGGCTGCCCAGGGAGGTGGTTGAGGCACCATCCCTGGAGGTGTTCAAAAGCCGGGTTAATGAAGTGCTGGGAGGTATGGTTTAGTGATGATGCTCCTTGTTTGTTGTGTGGGTGTCTATTTTTGTCAAAGTTAGGTTGACGGTTGGACAAGATGATCTTTAAGGTCCCTTCCAACCTAGAAGATTCTGTGATTCTGTGAAAATCTGTTCTATGTTTCGCTTTGTCAGAGCAGAGCCACGAATCCCAACTTTCAGGTCATTTCAAGAATAAGGACGAGAGCAGTTAAAGGAGCTGGTTAGTGTAGCTGTGTCGGATATTGTACGGTCTGAAAATCGCATTTAAAATTTTGCAAGCTTAGCTTGAAATGTGCTGACTTTCCTACTCTGAGAAGGAAACCCCAGAGCAGAGGCTGCGCTGAACAGACCAAGATAAAACGCTGCCAGGTAGCAGCAGCAGACATTTCTTCTGTCTGAGCCACCCTGACATGTAAATTCACTCTGGGGTAGTCTGAAAGAGAAATGCATTCTAGTTCTCCTTGGCTACAAGCCGTCCCCTGAGCATTTGAGACGCATTCCGCTGGACTAAAATAGGTCACACTGACAAAATATTTGAAGGATGTCCTGAAGAGTTAGGACACGGGTAGGTTTTGTCCTGTGGACTCAGAAAGATTTCATGTTGGAAGCAAGAAGTGAGAAGAACTGAAAAGACTTTTACTTGTATGTAAATATATATATATATATGTATATCCTTGGCAGCTGGAATGCCACCAGACAGGGAGTCCTCACTGTTAACAGTTTAGGAATGGGAGGGAGAATTTCAATATTTGCATAGGGCTGGGGATCTCTCTACTTTCCATCTCCTGGCTTCTCTGAAGCAATTCAACCTACCATAAGGGCAGAGCTGACTCAAGGCTTCTAATTATTGCAAGCCAACCCCAAATTTGGATTGGGAAAGGAGCGAAAGAAAGGAGAGGGCAGAGCAGGCTGGGGTTTGGAGGACGAGCGGAGAACAGCGTGGCAGAAAGTGTGAGATGCTGAGGGTTTTTTCTTGCTTCCAGCTTGTAGCCTTTGCAGAGGCTTCCTCTGGAGGCTGGGTTCTCTCTGCCCTTCCCTCACCCTGCAAAGGTGTCTTTGCAGCCATCTGCCCATTTCCATCCCTATCGTCTGGCAACAGGAACCAAACCCCTGTGTTTCCCCCTTGCTGGCAACCTGGACTGGGTCATGGCAACCGCTGAGGTTGCCCCGTGCTTGAAGCTGGCCTTGCTTAAATGGTAGAGATGGGGTTTGTAAACAGAGCTGAAGTGCGTGGCTGTCGATGACAGTGCTGCCCAGTAGGACCGCTGCTCTGGTCTGTAATGAGAATTGCTGTTTTCACCGAGTCCCTCAGCTTGGACCTCTTCCAGTTCTACTCAAGTGTAGCTAGTTCATCACAAGCAACAAGTGGTTCATTATAAACGATGGAAATCTTGGCTTCCAAGACTGCCTTTGTAAATGGTGAGCACTCGACTATGGTATTTCGAATGGGAGGCTCCAATGCAGCTATTGAGGGTTGTGTGTTATGGTTTTTTTTTTCTTTTTAAAGAGTGGCGGAAGGGAGCCACACTACTCCACCCATTTGCTTGCAGAAAATCTCTCTATAAAGCAAAGATAGTTGTGGGTCCAGCTGGGAAGAGTTCAGCCATCGTGGTGGAATGACATCAACCCAGGCACCTCTAAGCCTTTCTGTATGAACTAGCAGTTAGCGAATGAACTTTTCCTTAGGGCTCACAAAATTCAGCTACGGAAAAAAATCAAATACCCAGCCCCTGAGGAAGGGCTGAGAAAGGGAGGAGTATTCTAGGAAAGAACACAGAAAAGGCATTCTAGACCCTGACAGAAAAGCTGGGTTTCTTAGTACCATGTTATCTGTTCAACAGCTACATTAGGGCAAGGCAAATTGAAACCAGCTTTTCCACAGTAATATCACGTTATTTATCACCAAACCCTGGCTGAAAATAAAGAAAAGGACATGCTTCCTCATACAAGATATAGTTCAGCTGTGGAACTCCTCGATGCAGAATATTGCAGATACAAAATTTTATAGAGGTTCAAGGGAAGGGCGGGCAACTGTGGAAGACAAATCCACTGAGGTTTCCTCACACTATAGAAGCTACCTCCCATGGGAGGAGGGACGTAGATGGTTGCCCTGTTTTTGTGCTCTACCCTGAGCATTTACATTTGGCCAGTGTCAGAAATCAGATTTTAGGCCAGGTGGACCTTTAGTCAGGCCAGGAAAGCTGTTCTTATGTTCTCATCATAGTATTTCTGTATTTTGACACCCTATTGTTTACCCATAGATATGTAAAACTACCATTCAGCTTCAAATATAGTACTAATTGAGCAATAACCGAAACAATACTTTGAAGGTAACTTTGTATAACTTTGTATATAAAAGTTAATGTTCAAGTATATGCATTTCTGCTGTATGAGTCACCTAGACTTGTATGGTCAGCTGGTGTCTCTCTGCAAAATCTTGCACCTGGGATGACTCTGCTGTTTTCAAAACCTTCATGTATCTTTTAGTATGACCACATACACCCCAGAGCTTAAGTCTGTGAGTCACTGGAATCTCCAGATGTCTTACACATCTTCTCCAAAATCTGATTTTTGGAGGTCCTTTAAAGCCAGGGTGGGGATCTTTATACTGTATTGTAAAATGTGCTTTATGTATATCCTAGTAAGTAAACTCCGGGTCAAAGTTGATGTTCCGTGCAGTTAAAGGTGAAAAGCGTCAAAAAATATGCTAAAACAAAACCACCTTCTGATTTTGGCATCAGAAGCAGCAAGCTGTGTTTGAACCTTAGTGCTGAGTTAGCTGAAAATTGATAATTGTTACCTCTTACAGACAGGAACTCTGTCTATATCACAGAATGTTAAGGGGCTGGAAGGGACCTCTGGAGATCATCTAGTCCAACCCTCCCTGGCAGAGCAGGTCCTCCTAGAGACCTGCTTTTAAAGGGATGTTACCACTTTTTCTGTGTTGCACAAATACTCTTCTGGTTTTTTTTTCATGCTAGATCTTTAGCTGGCTGGTAACCAGGCTGTTTCACTGGAGAGCAGCACTCTTGATATTCTAAACTAAGCTCAAGGAAAGCGGTTATCTTTGCCCTGGTTTAGGCTGCCAGTACAGTGTAAACCAGAGAGCTTAACCACATACATATCCTGGAATTGCTTAGCTTTTCAAGTTTAATCATAGGCCCTTTCTTTCTGCACAGCTGAGGTTTCCATGTAATCAGGGTGAAGGATATGAGAATGGAGCGCAGCTTTCCCAACGGCAGCAGCCAGTAGTTGGTTATTGTCACTGACATCACTGCTGCCAAAGGAAAAAAATGGTCTTTTCAGTAACGATTAGAGCTCAGAATCAAGACTTCTGGGTTCAGTTGCTGGCTCTGCCACAGACTTCTAACAATTTTACATTCTTTTTTTACTGTTTCCAGGCTACAGATGGGAATAATACTGCTTTTTGTCTTTTCCATTTAAAGTATCAGCTCTTTGTGTGGTGCATCACCCCATCTAGGTGGGGCTTGCCACATGTGACCGTAAGGCACAGACAGCACAGTTTCTGCAGCTTTTGTGGGGTCCTGCAGCAAAAAGGGTCAGCAGACTTGTCCCTCTTACTTGGCTGGGCTTTCCTGTATGTATATAATGAGGAGACTCCTCTAGGTGAGGAACCTTCTACTTTCCTCACTCATCCCTTCAGCCATGGATTTTGAAGTTCTCTGAGGTCCTGAGAGAGATTCAGACACCCACACATAGGAAGTGAATGAGGGTTTGGTGGCCATGGCACACAGGGAGACACAGCAGAGGATCTGCAGGAGGACCATGCCTTTCAGAGCAGCAGAAGCTTGAAAGCATTAACAATGGGACTTGCCATCTTGTTTAGGTGCCCAAATTGCTCCATTGTCACATGCAGACAATGAGATCTTTGAAAGAAAGGAGAAGGGAGGAAAAGAGGAAAGGAGATCTTTCTAAGTTGGCTTCTTGGGAGAACAATTAACATTTTCCATAGCAGGCAGAATCTGGGTGGGTAACATAGAACTGTTGGTGGCTTTTAGGTCACTTAAAGCTTCTCCTTTTTGGCCATTACAGGAAAGAGCACAATTGGTCTGGTTTCCTGTGGGTTCTGAGGTTTCACAAGCGCAGTCTCTCTGTCCAGCTCTGCCTGGATCCCAACTTTTGAATGCGACTTTTGAACACATTGGTGGTTCTCAACCATGTTCTACCTACAACCGGTAGTTACAGAGAAGAGAAGCAGAAGCCTAAAACATAATTGCATTCTTAAAGACATAAGGGAAAACAGGGCGTTGTACAGAGTGGAATGACTCAGATTACTGCCCCGCTGAGGGAAAAGCAGGTGAAACTCAGCTGCTTCCACCTTCCAGGAGGTAGCTCAGCATGGATGCTGGCTGACTCTTCTGCGCCCGTCTTGCTAGAAGCTGCTGGAAGCACCAGAGGCCATACAGGGAATATTTGAGGCATTTCTATTTTGAGCAGTGTGTTAAATTCTGTTCCGCTGATGTCAGTGCTAATATTGCGTGATTATATTTTGAAGATGCTGAGATAACTGTGTATATTTCCAACGCGTATTTTCAAATCTCTCTTTCTTGTTTTAGGAAAAAAACAACAAAACAGATAAAATGGAGCCCGTGTTACTGCTATTCATATGTTTCATACCTATATTGGGTCTCAGTAATGGAACAGAAACTGAACAAGATTTTACTTGGCACTTAAAGAAGGTTCCCCAGATCGTGAGTGAAAAAACTTTCTCCCTTGACAGCCCTAAATTTGAAGCGAAAACCAAATTAGAGCTGAACAGCGTGTGTGGAATTGAATGTCAAAGAAAACTGCCGGTGCCGAGCTTGTCTGACTTGAAGGACCTCTTGTCCTATGAGACCGTTTTTGAAAACGGGACACGGACCCTGACTGAAGTGAATGTCCTCGGCCTGGGGCTTGACCCAGCTGGAAACACGACCACCACGCCAAGGTCTTCGAGAAAGAAGAGGCAGATCTACGGAACGGACAGTAGGTTCAGCATCTACGACAAGCGGTTCATGACCAACTTCCCCTTCAACACAGCCGTGAAGATCTCCACCGGCTGCAGTGGCATCCTCATTTCCCCCAGGCACGTGCTGACAGCTGCCCACTGTCTGCACAACGGGAAGGACTATGTCAAGGGCAGCAAAAGACTGAGGGTGGGCCTGATGAAGACGAAATCCAGAGGTGATGGCAGGAAACGCAAAGGGGCTAAAAGAAGCAGGAGAGAAGTTTCTGCAGCCCAAGAGGAGCCCGAAGGTGCCACAGAACTAAGGCGACGGTCCAGAGGTGGTGGGAGAAAGCAGAGGAGATCTGGGAGGAAGCAGGAGACCTCAGATGGCATGCCTTCCTTCCAGTGGACCAGGGTGAAGAGTACCCACATCCCCAAAGGCTGGTTTAAGGGTGTTTCTGGGGATATCGCCCTGGATTATGATTATGCTGTTCTTGAGCTCAAGCGTCCCCACAAAAGGAAATACATGGAGCTGGGAATCAGCCCGACAATCAAAATGATGCCTGGGAGCATGATCCACTTCTCAGGTTTTGACAATGACCGATCTGGGCAGCTGGTCTATAGGTTTTGTAGCATTTCTGATGAGTCCAATGATCTCTTCTATCAGTATTGCGACGCTGAGCCCGGCTCCACTGGATCCGGCGTCTATCTCCGTTTGAAGGAGCCAAACAAGAAGAAATGGAAGCGCAAGATCATTGCTGTCTACTCAGGCCACCAATGGGTGGACGTCAACGGTGAACAGCAGGATTATAATGTAGCAGTAAGAATCACTCCTCTCAAATATGCCCAGATTTGCTTCTGGATACACGGGAACGATGAGAATTGCACGCAAGGCTGAAGAGAGCTGCCCCTGACTCACTTAGCACCCCTATCACCGCGGAGCGAAGGTCTGCCGAAGATCTGCTGGAAGAACATCGCTCCACATCAGGACGTTTTTCCAACTCAAGGCTCCCAAGTAACGTTAGGGTGACTCGAGGAACGCTGAATTGCTGGGGGATGGGTAGCATTGTCAAACAAGGCATTTCTAATTCTAATCAACCCTAGGTATGCACTTAAAATCCCCAACTCTATTTATGTTTGCAATTGTGATAAATTCAAATTATTCATATCAGAAAAAAAAAAAAAAAGAAGAATGACTACACCTGTTTGACTTTTTTTTTTCCAAGGGAAGGATTGAAACATCTCAAACCGTTATTATTAAACAGTATCTATTTTTCCAATGGATTTGCTTTTCTCAGGGTTCTGTTCCACTTCTTCAAATGCAAGTTGTGCGTACAGCGCATTACTGTATGCACAGAATGATCCAGAGAACTGCTTGAGACCAAGACATTATTTTGGCATTCTCTAAGGACCACAGCTCCACGTTGAGAAGCAGCAGTCTAGTTCGTGCTCATCAGTCTGGAAAACTTCCTCCTCTGGTTGCTGCAGGAACACCTCCATGGAAATCCCAAATTTCTGTAGCTGGGGCTTAGAGCTTAAAGACCAGTTTCACTTCATAGCTCAGTAAAAACAGCAAAAAGAAATTAATGAACAGAGAAGTTTCCATGTTTGGAAGAAGAAGAAACATCAGGACATAATTTAATGCCTTTAAATCTTCTTTGAGAAGCTATAGAAGTCTTAAACACATGCATTTGCATTCCAGTTAGTATTTGGACAGCTGTAGGTTTAGTTTCTAGTCAAATGTTTAGCTTAACCATTGGGAGAAGTCACTGACTTCTGAAGTGGCTATTTGACAATCATTTAGAGCTTCACAGACGATAGATTTTTTTGGGTGCTAACAAATTTTTGCAGTTTTTATAAATTACTTTTATACGAGCTCAGCTTCGTAGATAGGACAGTATGTATTAGACTGGGAGATGGAAAGCAGTATTTTAGTTTGGCTTCTTACAGTTTTGCAAACTGGGTAGTTTTAATCCTGTCATATTCAGACTCCAGCTCAACATGAGTTATAAGGTTAAACTAAAAATTTCTCCCAACTAAATGATACCACCTTCTGAATGGTAGAAGTACTATCCTGTGCCTTATTACAGATATCTTGTTAGGTAGCAGCAGTAGTTCTCAAGTAATTTGGTTCAATATGTTTGCTGAACCATATATTTAATGAAAACACAAAGCGAGCTTGACTTTTACACACCTTTAAACACAAATCACCTTTTTTAAAAATTGTTGATTGCTACACAAGTTTATATATTTTATTTTATATCAAGATTTTGAAGCACACAGGATTGTTACGGTGCAACGTTAATCTAATAACATAAAATGATACTGTATATTTCCAGTCATACCCTTTGAGTTTCAATACTTTTAAGATCATTCACTACCAAAATATTTCATTTTTTGATCATAAGTTTATGCTGACCAAAATACATTTTCTTCCTGTGCAGAAGAAAAAAAACAACAAGATTTTAAAAAACTATTTGTTGGTATCTTTAAAATATGCTTGTAGTATCTTTTGATGAAATAAGATCATTTCTAATAACCCACTTTTTTGTAGATGATTGAAAGTATAAAACCTGACACTTTGAATGTGCAGGCAACTTTCTTTGTCATATTATTGCCAAAGCATAAAAATTTAAGACTTGCTTACATACTATAACTCTAACAATAGTTCATTAATTGGAAGAGATCTCACTCTAAAAGAAAACTATTTCTTTTAACGTCAGCCTTTCCAGGGAACACTTAACTTTTTTATTATTGTTATTTTGTGTGATTGTTTGCAGAAAACTAATAATAATTTTTAAAGTTTAGAAATTAATGTCTAAGATTTTAAGGTTAATTATTTTTTATTGTTGTTAACATCTCTATTAAGACGTATGGCTTTGCTGACAGTAATTCTAAATCCCCTCACTCCAGTATTTAATACTCTCGCTCTATGCAATGGGCCTACAATATTCTTTAGTTGGCTCTCTAATGTTTTTCTTAAGTGCCTTTTTTCCATAGTTACTGTGATAAATAAGGTGCCACATCAGTAACCCAATACCAGCCAGCCTAGGTCTATGGATTCTCTTACAATTGTTCTCACTGTTGATTTGGGTCCAAAACCGATCAAGATAAGGTGTCTTAGTAAATTCCTTGTTTCAGTGAGTCTTATTTACGTGTTCTCCTTAGGAGCAGAAATATAATCTATTTTCTTTATTAGTCTGGGAATCAGGGACAAGGTAAGAATGAAAAATGTCGATGTTGGCTTTCAAATGGTCTTCTTGTAATAGTCATCTGCTATAAATACCTCAGCCACAACCTGAAGTTCTCATACCAGGCTGACAACAAATGTTTATCCTCAGAGGATAAATACGAGATGCTCAGTGCCTCATTTTATGGTACTAAGAGATTAAAGAGGCTGCCCAGAGCAACAGGAAAATTAATCAAAATTAAAAAAAATATATATACACACACTCAAGCCTCTGTGCCTGGGTGCACGTGCACAAACACATGCAAATATACGGGTTTGTAGAGCGTGTGCCATTTTGACTGGGTCAGGGCCTTCAGGCAAAGGAATGCAGGCACAAGAAGATGTGGATAAAATGCTATTCCTGTTGTATCTGCATGTCAGGCAGCGTTTCAGCCTGTCACTTGGCCTAATAGAGAAGGACATGCCTTATGTAGGCATCATGACTCCAGGGACTTCTGAAAGAGTTCATAAATCAAGTTCTTACGCACAACCCCGGGAGGTCAATGTCCCACGCAGAGCTTTTGGTACCAACCAGTACAAATGGGACAAGAATTTCTGAGTTGTGTTCATCTCAGATTTCCTCAAAAAACCCCTGCATTTCGTGTCTAGTTATCAATGAGAAAATACGAGATCGGATCTGCCGTTCTCTAGGACAGCAGCATCAAGGCTGGGTTCCCAACCCAGAAGGGTACAGAGCCCTTGGGATGTTTCCCCAAAGGATTTTTCCCTCTTTTAAGTACCAGGCTGTACATCCCTTCTTTTCCTCAGTACTAATACTTTTCTGTAAGAGATGCTATGGTAGATCATTTTCCTTAACTGTATTCCTGGCTTTAGGAAAGACAAACTCAGTCAAATCCCTTTTCTGCTCTGTACAGAGCCCAAAATCCCCAAAGGATTTTTCCCTCTTTTAAGTACCAGGCTGTACATCCCTTCTTTTCCTCAGTACTAATACTTTTCTGTAAGAGATGCTATGGTAGATCATTTTCCTTAACTGTATTCCTGGCTTTAGGAAAGACAAACTCAGTCAAATCCCTTTTCTGCTCCGGGGTTACCGGCAATTTGTAAAGTTAACAAGTAAGTTTTTCCTGGGGTTACCAATTTGTAAAGTTAACAAGTAAGTTTTTCCCTTGGCCAAAGAGAAACCTTAGATACAAACCATTAACACACCCAGACCAGCTTCTATGGGGCATCTGTGTGTGTGTTTAATTTGGGGCTCTGAGACATAGAGTGGAAGTCAAGGGGATTATCTGCAGTGTGAAAAATTCGTGTCTTAAGTTTGTAATATCTTAACACAAGGAAAACACAGTGTTAGGTACCAAAATTACTTCTGTCATATGAGGTATAGAGTACCCAACCCTTTAAAAATTCCTTAAAGAAACTCCTTGACTCCGTTCATAATTTTCCATCCAAATTTTGCAGATTTATGAAGTGTGAATCAGCACAGAATGTGGCTTAAGTCAAAAAGTAATTCATCTGCCTGTGGAGGAGAGAAGCAGCTGGGGAGTTCCTCCTGTCCTGCTGCTAAGGGAGCAAACAGCAATTAACACAGAAAGAGAGAGAGCAGGAGAAGTGGATGGTACAGAAGACCAGGAAGATGGAGGTGGAATGGCAAAGGGTAAAGAAAGTGTGAAAATGATGAAATGGCTGCAAGGTGGCAGAGGGCCCTATCGTGAGGAAGAGCAGGCAGCTGGTAAAGGCATAACAGGATAAATTAGGATGTGAAAATCACAAGTTACACCAACAACCTCCCTTGGCTGTTAAAGATGAGGCTGTTCTTCCCAGCCAACAGCAGCAGGGAAAGGGTTGTGAGAGGGCTCAGGTTCTGGCAGAGACCACAGGCAGGCAGAGGGGTTTCTGACCCAGACCTCAAATCCCTGCCCAAAATCCCAGGGATTACACTTGTGCTCATTGAGGGTCCTTGGGAAGCAGCAGATCCATGTCCTGGCCAGAAGGGTGGGCAGAACCTCCCAGCCCACCAGGTCACCACGAGTGGTATGAGAGAAGGGAGCTTCTTTCCCTTCAAAGTTTTTCAAACCTGACATTTTTGGGGGATTTGTGTAAAGGCTCTTCCCCACTGGAAACAAAACCAAACCATACAAAAAAGAAAAACCAACCAACAAACACAAAAATCTCAATCTTGAAGCCGTTAAACGTTGGCTCCATTTTTTGCATGTACCTACAAATTCCAGCCAATAAATTTTTTCAGCTATCTTCCGTTTGTGTTTGGGATCTTTGTAGAAATAAAATCAACTGCTTCTAATTTTAGAGGACAGAATATGGCAGCTACTTCCATCTGCAAATTCCTGGATTAAAGAATGAATGGGGGAAAAAAAAAAAAAAGAATATTGTTAAATTGAAAGCTTAAAATTGCACATTAATCTCAAAGGATTTGGAGGTATATTTGTGTCCCTGTTGCACCAGCCTTTTGCTCCCAGTGTCAGATAGCATTTAGGTTAAAAAAACCTCCAGAGGTAGCTTTGATGATTCTTTAATATTCTGAACTTTTTTAAAAGACTGACAGCAAACTTCAAAAAGTGTGTTTTTATCATATTTTTAACTGCACAAAATGACAACTCAGTTGGGAAAACAAATGCAAACCTTTGCTATATGAAGATATTATACCGTGCACCTACTATGTCAATAAATGTTTTCTATTGTTTTTCTTTTCCTCTGTCATGCTGTAGTTTTTAGCTCTGGTGGTGTTACGCAAACCCCATTCTCTAAATGCTTCTAACAGGGTGTCAGTGAATCATCTGGGACGTGTTCTTACAAGATATTAATGTCTCTTTAAATATGTTCTGGGAAAAAAAAACCTCCCTGTCTACTCCTATGTTCAAGATAATGATTCCATGAGCAAATTTGATGAGTTAAAAAAAAAAAAAAAGTTGGTTCAGCAAGGAAATGACTCACAGACTATGCCATGACTTATTAGTTCTGAAATAAGTAATTAGTTCTGTTTCTGCTATGAGCTATTGTTGTATTTTCTGCCCCAGAGAGCTGTTGAACCAGGCCAAATTAGAAGGTCGTAAAATATTACAGTCTTGGTTCTCAGCATTATCTTAACTCTGTGCCCTTGAAATTGGTGCTGATTTGATCCCTGACAGTAAAAGGAGAGATTTTTGGCAAGGATGGGAGGCTGCTGGAAGTATTTAATGGAAAGTTTAGAAATGATTGCGGCAGTGATTAACTGTGTGTCTAATACAGGCAATATTTAACGAGGGTCTGGGCAAGGGTTTCCCCACCAGCTCTGGTGTCTTTATACAGGCAAGGATTAAGGGCCACCAGGGAATAAATAGGATCACCTGGACCAAAGGCCATTTGGGGCTGGTAACAGGATCTAAGTCTTTTCGTTACTTTTTGCCACCTTCTGGGAGAACATCTTGGTGCCTGAGGAATGTTTCTTGTCCAGGGAACACAGACAGAGCCCCAGGGGTGACAGCCACGTCCTCTGCAGGCCAAGCCAAGCCACTGGTGGGGATGTGGTTGCTCCCATGGAAGATACTTTCCAGGACGTGCTGTGGGTCTCACATTCCCATGGGCTCTGGGGAGCCTGAACCGGAATCCTGTCCAAATCTATTCAGCCCTAAAATGTTCCAGTACAGCCCAATTCCTTGTGCAGGCATTTTCCCATCATCCTTCCAGTTCCCATCGTCTTTAACAACTGCTCAAAAGGCCTTCACCACACGACAGCAACTCAAATCCACCAAAGAAGTGGCACCTTATGCCAATTATTATGCAGATATTCCTGACAAACCCTTCATTCCTCCTACTTGGAATATGTCTCTAAGCCTTGATCGTGGCTTGCCCTTCAGACGTTATCGCAAAGAAAAAAGATGAGATATCCTAAAAAAGCTACACAAATATTTTACAAAGATTGTGCCTCTTGGCAGTTATGTACACACCACAGTTACTGCAGTTGCTATGGCTCTACTTCTTTTCCATGTGTAAGAGTTTGAAAACATTGGATGAAACCAAGTTGGGCTGTTTTTCAGACAAATTACTCAGCTGCCCTTTGGCTGCAGTTGCAGCATTCTCCCACCCCTCCCCTCCAGTTGAATTTCCAACGTTATGGATTAAATGCAGGGTTTTCAGCTTTGCTTTAATCAGAGACCAAAGCAGCCAGGAGGTGGCACACGGCGAAGGACCCTTTCTGGCCATACATCTCTGTGGGCATCCTGAAGCAGGACAAGCTCCAGGGGGAGAAGAGGACGAGAGAAGGCAAAGGTGAAGACCATCATCAGCAAGAAAAACCACAGCGCCTTACTGAATGGAAGAAAACATGATTTCTGTTTTTCCTACAGTGAAAGGCAGCCCTAGTTTTTACACTTCTTTGCCTTCTCTTCAATGATTAACTCATCAGCTAAATATTGTTGGCTCTTGTACAGGAGGGAACCGACCCGCTCAGTGGTGGGGGTACAACGTGTCCTCCAATGCCAGCAGGGACTTCCCAACAGACACACAAAACAGAACGCTAAGTTACCCCAAAGGGGATTCACTAGTCATGCAAAAGAAAAAATAAATTTAAAAAGTAAACCCTAAGGCAAGGACCATATTTTTATTTAAGGAAAACAAGGATATTTTGAAAACTATGTGCACGTAAAGGCAACGGGGAGACTTTATAGCTACACGTGGCGTATGGGATTTTGTGCCATGCTCACCTGTGCAGGATGTGGATGTGTTCCAGAGCTGCGGTGAGTTACGTGGTCAAAGAACAACCAGCAGCACTGCTCTCCTCAGTCTTCAAACAGCTTCACATCAGGCACACACACTGCCGAGGGATGGAGGTGACTGGATGAAGACATCCCCCTGCTCCGATGCAGAGACCTCAGTGGAAATGTAGCTGTGGTGGGCTTGGGCCCAGTATCCCCATCATGGATGTACAGGCTCAGACATGCCCTGTCCTGTGAATCTCATGCTGTGTCTCTTCCACCACACATCCCATCCCATCCCATCCCATCCCATCCCATCCCATCCCATCCCCCCTCCAGGTAAGGAAGCTCTTTGGTTGAGTGGGACAGTGCCAGCCAGGTCCCCAGCCAGGAGCTACACCTCACGGGGGTGTGTGTGTCTCCTTGTAGGGCTCCCCTTGGCTCCTCCAGCCTCTCCTTCAGCGCCTCGATGGACCACAGCATCTTCACAGTCCCACTGCGCCCTCCTTCCCCAGGGTCCTGCCCTTCAGAAGGGTGACAGTCTCTCTCTTTGTACTTCAGCTATTTTTAACGCGCTGTTTGCAACTTCATCTCATGCTCCCCCTTGTCTGTCTTGCCTTCTCCCTGTTGCTAATGCCATCTTTTAATTTTTTTAATTCTGCCTGCTTTGGGGTTTCACCTCGTTTTCTACTTAAACACCAAACAATTAAAATTAAATTAAACAAATCATGCCCAACCCCTGGTGCTACAGAGTGAGCAACTGGGCTTTTCTCCCCAAGAGGAACCACTACAAAGTGCTGTTGAAGGCAACAAGCTGCAAACAGAGAACTAAAGGCGGATCACTGCAAGCAGAGCAGCGTTCACAGCTCCCAAACAAGGCATCCAAGTCTGGAGCCAGCCTTGGGAAATGCTTTCACAAGCTCTGAGTCAAGGCGGAGGCGCGCTGCCAGCTGGAGGAACCATCTCGTGATGCCCCTTACAAAACAGCTCCGGGCTGCCCTGGCCTGCCCCGTCCTCCCAAGGATGTGGACTGAGGGAGAGGTCACAGGCTCTGGACCCCAGCAGCAACCACGGGGTTTGGTCTCCTAGACACACACATGCTGCTGCTCTCCAGGGGAAGCTTAATTTCATTTCAACTGGCTGCAAAAAATAACAAAAAAAAAAATGATGCTATTAATCAGATTATTCTAACTGGGCTGTAAGCAGCTCCC